GCTACACTATATAGGCTAACTGATAAAATCATCAGGGCAGCGCTGACAACACCTTTTTGTGCAAACTGCGTGACCGTAGTGTGCGTGTGCGAGCACGTGTGATTGCAGTAATTCCTGTGTGCTGTATATGTACAATGTCATGTGTAGCCTTTAAGTTGCTACATTATATAGGCTAACTGATAAAATCGTCAGGGCAGCGCTGACAACATCTTCTTGTGCAAACTGCGTGACCGTAGTGTGCGTGTGTGAGCACGTGTGATTGCAGTAATTCCAGTGTGCTGTATAGGTACTGTATGCTAATTTCCGTTATTACAGTTAACTATGCGAAGTGATATGGAACTGTAATGTGGTCAAGAGAGCTGCCTGGAACTACGTTCGCCGTGCGTTTCCCTGAAAATAACTGTGGACCAACAGACTTGGTCAGGGTCAGTGCATCTTGTTCAAGCGCAGCATCAAAAGTTCTACGAAACACAATATAAAACATTGCTTTATATAAAAATGTGAATAATAGTGATATCCCCTACAAACCTGCACATTTGCATGTGTATAAGTGGAATGTTATAATGTATCAAGATCTGATGTTTTGATTTTTCCAGTTTTTGCAACAACTTACACAACTTATGTAATGAGAGCTGCATCTGATCTTGGTGTTTCCATTTATTTTGGGATGAAAATTTTTTTCTTTCTTTTGCAAACTAAAGTACATTCCTCATCATTCTTGTGATACACATTATGGTCCATTTGTAAATTTGTCATGAAAACATGTTCGGACATGTTTGTGTTTCACATGCCTTTTTGTTCCAAGTGAAACAAAGTCAAACTAATAAACATGATTATTAAATGTTAAAATATATGGCCTACCCATGATTCAGTATGTGATATGTTGTAGGTTAAGTGCTTTATATTGCAAACATCGATAACACTACAATAAGGTTCCATTTGTTAATATTAGTTAACCACATCGTAATTAAAGTCAATTGAAATCAAAAGTGTATCTGATAATATTTTTCTAATGGACCTGAGCTAACATGAACTCACAGTTGTATTTTTATTAACAAAGATTATTAAATACTGTAACAAATATATTGCTCATTGTTAGTTAATGTTATTTAATGCAGTACTAACAATAACTAATTGGACCTTACTGTAAAATGTTACCCAAACATCCAATGACTAACAAAGTTATTGTATGTTAATTATTCAGACAGAGAAAATGTACATCAAGCAAACCTAGAGTAGATGTCGTTATTGAACTGCCCATTTCAGCCACTCCAGGAAAAACACATTCA